TTCAATTTGATATAAAAAACGAATGAAGTGTGCGATCGGTTGTGGTGTATAGGAGTAGTGGATGTGGAGGAAAGTTGTTATTATCGGTGCCATTGAATGGTAGGCTTACAGACATAGCTCTCTGTGACATACGGTATGTCAGACAATGTATTAAAAGGGAGAGAGAGAGTGTGTGTCAGTGAAAAATGTTCCGATTTTATATTAATGACGAATCTAGGTCATTTAACTATCGGTGCTCTGGCCTTTCTCGCGCTGTAGACATAGGCTTACTGTATGTAATGGTTGCGCGAAATGAATGGCTTTTTATTCGTGCCATTTATCAATGCATAAGACGTTTGGAGCGTTAGATTAGTTTTTGTGATTATTATGTATTAAATGTATTATAAAAAAATTTTGACGGACGGAGAGAAAGGGAGTGAAAGGAGGGAATGCCTGAGAGAGAAGTAGCGAAGCAGTGAAAGCACTTCTTCTTATGGCAGGAGAGAGAGAGAGAGAGAGAGAGGAAGTGGTGGTTCGACACACAAATTGATGCCAGAAAGGGATCCTTAGACTCTCGACTCACTCTAATATAGGGGCCACTGCCTAATGTATGCACACAAACCGTACGTACACTATATAAATAATAAGAGCCCCTCACCTGAACCTACAGTTCCGAAATAGACGTTCCCTCTCTTCCTTCTTCCACTACTGGCATATATACACAAAACCTAAATATATTGAACAATATTGTTATATAACAGTCGTTTGCCATAAGGTTTGAATCAAACATCTGATTATTTAGTATTACTTTTATATGTAATATATTTCATTATTATATAATATTTAGGGAAAGAGTGTATACTTTGCTATTAAGAGCACGGGTTGCCGTATGGACTCAGGGAAGGGGCTCTGGGTGTTAGTCAATGGATTCCTAGTAAAAGGGAAGCAATGAATTATTCTCTCTCTCTCTCTCTCTCTCTCTCGCCTCTTGTAGACACTCTCTCCCAAAGTGCTTATGAAGTCTAGGGTTTCATACCTTTATATAAAAAACATACAAAAAGTTAGCACACAAACTTAACACATAACTTTCATTCTAATCAAAAAACTTGACATTCTCACTCCCTGTGAGTGTGAAAAGCCTACTGATCCCCTTTTATATAAATTTTCGGATTATTTATTATGAAATTTATTTCATACCATTCTTTCTCTCTCTCTCTCTCTTCCGCACCGAGACTCGCATTTTCTTTCCTTTTTTTCGGGGGATCTTTGCTATCAATTTAGCACTCAATGTATGCACGTCTTTGGCATTCAATTGTAATGTTAAGGTCTCTCGCAACTGATTTTCTGTGATATGAATTGTGAATAACCTTTCACTTTCACCCAAAAAAACATGGGTTTATTATAAAAGTTTGATTTTTTTAAACTAACCTGAAAAAAGTGCACGACTTGAAAGAGTTTTTAACAAGTTTTACGTTAATTTTAAACCAGAATTACTCCATAACAGGCATAATATATGCCAAACACTTTAAAAACTCATTAATTATTCATACGAATACTTCAGATCCCAAAGTATGGAAATATATTTTTTGTATGTTTTTCAATCGTGTGTTTGAATTGTGTATTGAAAGTAAGATTAGTTTTTTGAACTGTAAGAGTGAGGGACACTCACACTTTTTGCCTACTGATCCCCTTTTATATAAATTTTCGGATTATTTATTATGAAATTTATTTCATACCATTCTTTCTCTCTCTTCCGCACCGAGACTCGCATTTTCTTTCCTTTTTTTCGGGGGATCTTTGCTATCAATTTAGCACTCAATGTATTTGGCATTCAATTGTAATGTTAAGGTCTCTCGCAACTGATTTTCTGTGATATGAATTGTGAAAAACCTTTCACTTTCACCCCAAAAAACATGGGCTTATTACAAAAGTTTGATTTCTTTAAAACTAACCTGAAAAAAGTGCACGACTTGAAAGAGTTTTTAACAAGTTTTACGTTAATTTTAAACCAGAATTACTCCATAACAGGCATAATATATGCCAAACACTTTAAAAACTCATTAATTATTCATAATATACAGCGTATTAAAGGGTTCTCATCCCTTTCCATACATACGAAACCCGTTTATATATTCAAATATTATCTCATTTTTCATTTCAATTCAAGTTTTATATCAGTAGTTAATAAAATTAATTATAGCTTTTATGGCGAATATTCAGCTGAAAATTAGTGTATGTTTTCAAAAACTACTTATTGAGAGCAATAGTCACTATAGTATTAGTACAGTATATTGGGAGAGAGAGAGAATGGCGTAAAAATGTTTGCCTAAACGAGAAGTTGATTTTTTTGGGGACAACCCGAGTGTCGGTGCCATTGGCTGTCGGTCTAGTAATAAAACATTCCTCGTATGTCTCATATGTTTAGTATCCATGACTCGGGGGCCTCTCACCAGCACTGGTTTTCACTGTTCAATAGTTTTTATATCGAGTAGTTTTGGCGATCGATATAAAAATGAGAGACAATTTTTTTGTTAGGGTAACAAATCCTATTTCCAGAGATCAACAACAAAAAATAAATCTTTGCCTAAAACTTTTGAATACTGAATGAAAATTATTCGTTTGAATCCATTTTGCAATTTCTCTGATCACTGGAAATACAATTTAATACTGTTCACTATCCATGTAATAAGTATACAGTATGTAAAAGTATGCAAAATTACATAAAAAAATAAAATTTTGTGAAATCTGAAAACTTTTCCAATAAATGCAATTTCTATTTCCATTACATTAGGAAATGATTTCAAATTAGTTTTTTATTCTTAACTATTGATACCATTCTTTGTGTCGTTATTTCATTTATTTAATGCGATTATGTTTACCTAATCATACAATTACTGTAAAATAAGAGTATATTAATTAAATATTCATGAATTATTACAAAAATAATATGATATTAATGATACTATTGCTTAAAAAATTACCTTAGCTTTGGTTCAAATACATGAAAAACTGAATCTCATGTTTGATATGCATTTTAAATGGAGTTTAAGTGAATTTAATGAATGTGTACTAATACTGTATATAAAATACTTTTTATAGTCAATTCACTCATTGCTCACAAATATATCTTTGAGCCATTTTCGGGGCAAAAAGGGCTAAATAATAAAGGCCAATGACTTGCTATCATTAAGAGAGAGAGAGAGAGAGAGAGAGAGAGAGAAGTACTGAAAAGTATTCACAATGTGTTTCATATCCTTATCGTTTGGTTTATTTAATTCAAGTTTTTCACTGCAATACGTTTGCAACTCATCGCTCATTATTTATACATTGAAACGAGAATATGCTTTCAATTTGAAAATTGTATTCATAAAAAATATATCTCAGTATAGCTTATGTGTGACATGAAAGGAGACTTTCCAATTTTTCCAATAAAATTAATGTATCGCCCGAAAGACATGAACTATATTTTTAGTTTTTGCATACAATTCCCCGACCGTAGTCTCGGTGACTGACTGTCCCTTATATGTCTGACAGCAAGAGACTGACGTTCAGTATTGATGACAAAAAATGAAGAATTAGGGAAAAATGAGTGCAAAAGGGATTGAATTGAAAACTATTTTTTAAAATATGGTTTATTGCCCTCAAAGGTTCTCAAAGTGTTTTTGTGTGTAGAAAACTACTCTCAAAATTCGTTAGAACTTAACTACTAGTGCTGTAAGAAATGTATATATGTTTGAGAGAGAGAGAGAGAGAGAGAGAGCAAGTCTTCTATCATTTGATGAGCAAAAGGGTTGCGAGATTAGCTCACGGAGAAAGAACCTCAACAACACCACAAGGGAGTGAGAGGGATAGGAAAGTATACAATATGAGAAACTTCAATTGTAAAAATGTATTGATATGATAATAATATAATAATTCTTTCCATTCTTTCGTAGACTTTTCTCGATTTTATTACCGTATACGTTAGGGATCTCTCTCTCTCTCTCTCTCTCTCTCTCTCTCTCTTTCTTTCTTTCTCTCTCTCGGCATAGGAATAGGATATTGAATAAAAACTGTTTTAATGTCAATGTCGGGCCCCTAATTATATCATATTGAGGTTATTCTCTAACCTTAAGTTTACATTAAATATTTTTCCATATTTAGAAATACACTCAAAACTATTAAAGAAATATTGATTTTAATTAAACAACAATTATGTTAAAACATAAAATAGCCAGTGTATTATAATAGCCTAATAATAATTAAAATTGTAATTATAACTATCGGTAATAATAAATGTTATGTAGACTTATATAATTGTAATAAAAACTAAAATCTAAATTTTCGTATGCAGAAATATAATATAATAGCTGTTTTATATTCAATTTAAGTTTATAAAGTCTTGTCTGTAATGCTATTTATAACATTTTTAGACAACAGACAGACTATAGCTATTTCAATGACATACAATCGGTCGTGAAAAAATAATTGAATACTTTATTGAGTTGTATGAAATCAAATTCAATGCCATTATACAAATATTTATAGTTTAACACATATTTACACTCAATTTTATTAACAGAAACTTTTTTTTGATAAACTTTTATATTACAAAACAAAAATTAAACGGAAAACTTAACTCATTAATTTGGTTCCGGATATGAATAAAATTCACATTACTTAATAAATATAATACAATTAATCATGAACAATTAGTTAATGAATAAACAAATTGCAATACAATAACATTGTTATTTGTATGAACCACTCTTTACCTGTCTTAACATCATATTTAATATATTATTTTTCATTAACAGTATATTTTATTGAAATTAATTATTAATTAAATTATTTTATTTATAACAAATTGTTTATTTTTAACTATTCATATGTTTGTCACTTAAATGATATGATTTTGGACCAAATTCCAGATCTATTAAAATTATTGATATTATTGTCTCTATTAAGGACTTAAGGAATTGAATATTAATGTATATTTGGTATTATACAGTACTATGAAATCATTATTGCTGTCATGTATTGCACAGTAAAATGAGATAAACTCTAAGATAATCACAATATTTCCCATTATCTACATTTGTATTAATTTTCGTTATACACAATATAATAATCAGAAAATGATTGCATTGTACTTTCATTAGCAAAATGCCATCAAATATTTGATCAAATCATATAAACACATTAACTAATAATAAATCAATAATTAGCAAAAAGCGTATGACTTAATGACTCTAATGAGTTTATCTCGACTACAGCGCCGGTATCTCACGGACATGAATAGGTGTTAGCAATCAGCGACCGGCAGACCATTATTCGCACTCTTGTTCATTGCATACGAGTTTGCATTATAGACGGAATGGCTGTCGGTGTGGTTGTGAGCGGTCGACCCGTTTGCGGTGGTCGAGATGGCGAATATGGTGTGGGACTGTTGGGTCTGGGGTCGGGTGGGGGGTCGGGTGGGCGCGTACTTGTAGTTATTGAAGTGCTCGAGAGTGCCGTCTCCCGTTTGACCCGATTTCTCCATAACAGCTATTTGTGTGGTTCGCACCTGAATTGCAAAATAGAGGGGAATGGCATATCAAATGATATATAAAATGCCAGGATTATCAATGTCTCAGACATTCAGACAGTTTTCACTTATTGAGAGTGAAATTTGTCTCGAAAATAGGATATTTTCCTATAAAAAAGAAAAACTTATTTCTCGAAATGCATTCAAATCCTTGAATAATATAAGGAATCGTTTTTCTGATTTCAATGCATATATAAAAAAAGTGAACCAAAAGTGTAGACTTACATGAAATGGAAAGTTTTTATTCGCAGCCGAGGGTCGGGTTAATATCTGTGCCATAAGAGAGAGAAAGTATGTCAGATTAAAGTGTTTTATATACCACTTCTTAAGAGGTAGGGGACAGGGAACAGGAAGGGATTGAGAGGTTTCGCCAAATAATAGAGTATTTCTCTAATAAAAGGTCTAAGTTTTGCTCATTTTTTCATTCCTCCCCTAAGTTTGGGATTTTTGGTTTTTGTAGTAAAAACTCACATAAACTTTATAAAGAATTTACTTTAGAGTTCACAAAAGTTTAGTTTCCCTAAAAAGTACATAATGTCTCTTAAAACTATGAGCTACTGTCTGTATACCAAGATATGCAGAGGGGGTTACGAAAGGGGTCCACAAACGCAACTATATATCCAATTAACGCCATTAATAGAAATTTACTATTTCAAAAATACCAAAACACTTGAGTTCATAACATTTTAAGTATTTATAAAATACACCTTTCCTTATATTCTCATAAGAAATCTCATAAGAAATTGAGGAAAAATGACTGCTTAGTGAATGCTTAGCGAAACGCAAACTTCAAATAAAATCCCAACGATTTATAATAAGTTTATAAATTTATAAGTTTTATAAATGTTTTTAATAATAGCGATAGACTTACGAAGAAAATGAAATGTGCTTCAATTGCAATAAGCAATTCGACGGCATTTATGATTTTTTCTCTCATCCATTTCGGGACTACAAATGTCGAGATTAATATCACAACCGGTGCTGATATGAACCTATTTTATAGAGAAAATTGTTTTATAATATTAAAGGAGAGAGAGAGATTGGGCTAAAGAATTGACTCAAGAATTTTTATTCTCACATTTTTTTCGTTGGGTTTTGTTTTGTTTTTTGTTTTTTATGTATTAGCAAAAAAAGAAACAAAAAAACGAAAAACTAAAAGAAAAAACTTTTTGGATAAGAAAAGCGAGAGAGAGAGAGAGAGAGAGAGAATAAAAAATAAAATTACATACTATTATTAATAGCTCTAAAAACTACACAATATTTCGGTCGTTAAGGACTCGGTGTTTAGGAAAGGGATTGACAATAATCGCAATTATATACAACTGTATATAAAAGATGGCTATATATGAGTTGATAACCAGATTAGTCATAAATTTTCTGTATTTCTCTTCAGACTCTATTTCCATACAAAAAACAATCAAAAACAAAGTCTGCATTTGTCGCTAATCTATGAGATCCTGGACCGGGAGTATAATTCCTGTCGATTCCTGGTTTACATGTATTTTATTTATTCTGTTCTCTCATACATAAGACATTCAATGCATAAAGCAATGAAATTTCATTTTTAAAAAGCGTTTAAATTATAATTTTATGCGAAATATAAAAGTATAATGCAAAATAAAAACATTTATATTTAAGATTTGCTATCAAAACGACTTTTCATATGCAATGCATGCCATATATAATGTATAATAAAAATAATATTTGAAATATATTTGATTTCTAACTAGCAAGTCTTTCAAATGAAAAATTCTTTATTGTTTTTATAAAAAATAAAATAATAATTTTTATTATTTTTGTTGAATATCTAGCGCTCAGCAACAGAATTCACGAGAGAGAGAGAGAGAGAGAGAGAGAGAGAGAGAGAGAGACTACTTTCAAAATCAAAGAACAGAAAGCAAAGGGAAAACCAAATGAGAAAAAATCGGTTGAAAGCAAAAAACAACAACAAAAAGAGTTGTAAAACCAGTCGCTATTATATTATTATATAACGTATAATACATATTCGTTGGATACGATGGCATATAATGTCTAATATTAGGCCCTAAACAGGCCATTGAAGGCCGCAAACACACACACAACACAATCCACAATCCGGTGCCCAAAACAGGAACCGACGGAAAAACAAAAAACAAAACAAAACCCAACGAAAAAAATGTGAGAATAAAAATTCTTGAGTCAATTCTTTAGCCCAATCTCTCACTCTCCCAATACATACACGAAACACAAACCCCTTTGCAGACAGTCATGAACTCTATGTTCAGAGCAGTCAGACGTGAATTCTCAGACACTTTTCATTATGTATTAGCAAAAAAAGAAACAAAAAAACGAAAAACTAAAAGAAAAAACTTTTTGGATAAGAAAAGCGAGAGAGAGAGAGAAGAAAGTGAGTGAACGAAACACTTGAACCCACTTTTTTGTAGGCATACAAATGATGTGTATTCAAAGAGTTAGTGAATAGAAGAGATAGAGAAAAGCAAAAACAAAAAACCAAATGTCTATCCGTTTGTAAGGAGGCACAGACAGTAAGACAGAGATAGACAGACAGACACACAGACATAGAGTGATGACATGCCGGTCCACTCACCAGACGCTATACATAAGAAATAATCGCGTGAAGAACGAAGATTTTTGCGGATAATGTATTAGAGTGAAGACAATGGCGTAGACGAACCAACCCCACCCTATGAGGCGCAGGGCGATCAACCCGTACCCGAATGGACTCTCGTACAAATACAGCACCTCACCAGGGTCGAAATACTGTCACATGTGTTGCAGATTTGTTGTCCATATTTGAAATATGAAAATAAAATTGAATTTTATGATGATTTATGTCTCATTATTTTGGGATCAAATGATTCAAATGGTCGTACCGTTTGCTCGTGAAAGAAGAGTATGCCGTAAGTGATGGTGAAGAGTGTCATGAAGACGCCGATCTTAACGGATGTGCTCATCTTGAGCCTGGCCCGGGTCACTGTGAACCCTTTGGCCAGTAGTATCAGTAGTAACAGGAATATGATGGTCGACACCGCTTCCATACTTCGCCCTTTGATTTGTTGATATATTTGGAAAATTAGACATTAATTAGTATTTATATTTTAATTTGTCGTAAAGCCAGAAATTATTGATTAGAAAATAAATCAAACATTTTATATTCATTGCATATCAAACTCATTTCAATAAATTCTTTATCAAGTCTATTGCAAATTATTAGCTAATATGATAAATTAAACTCAAATCTGTAGTGGTTTATGGGTTTAAACAATTCATTGTATTCTAGGAACTGTTGGGAACTAACAGCAAATAGAGGTTTTATGGTTTATTTTTTATAAATAAAATAAACTTTTAAATTGAATTATAAAACAAATATATATTTGTCTAAAGACTTACCAAACACTTTGAGGGCATTATAACCAAATCCGTTTTGAGCATATAATCCATAATAAATGCATAATAATGTGATTCCAATGCATTCTTGTTATGCAAATAGACATACATTTCAATACCAAAAAGAGTTATTATATAATATTATACATTACTGTACATGTATTTTAAATGTTAAGTACTGTTAAGTCAAGAGACCACTAAAAACTAATCGCATATGAATAGAGTCTAATAAAGTGTATAATACCTGACAAAAGTGATGTCAAATACATTTTGTATGTTATATGGAATAAGTGCCGCGAGAATAAGGAGTCTAATTGATTGAATGAAGATTTTTATGATCATCATTTTAATTATTACTTTCAGGGATGACCACATTAAAGGGCATAAATTGTTATGTGCTAGTCTTAAGAGTAAATCTACATATAATTACAATATTTAAAAATATTGCAATTTTTATTAAATAAACTATTCTTGGAAATTAATGGCTAATTGTTCATCTGGTCATCCCTGGTATTTGTCACGTTTGCATACAGGCTTCAAAACACGAGGCAATGAATAGCGCATAGTATAATATCGTGAATATGAGATCCGTGTGTAATATATCTATCAATAGAAATACAAACAACAATTAAACCCGGAATCAGATTAAACACTCAATTCTTAGGCAACAGAAATCGCTCACAAAACTCGTCGGCAGAGAAATGCCGGAGCCATCCATCGTTAACATTGTTAGTCATCGTAATCTTGTATCTCAACTTCAATCCCTGTACCAGACATCAGACACAGACATTGGATTAATTAATCGCATAAATTCACATATCATTTGAGAAACAACTTGTATTGCAAACAACAAGTCTCTCTCGATTGACAATCAAAAAACAAATGCAAATAATTAAATACAAACCTTTGTTGAGTTGCAATTGTCGAGCGCTATGAACCACCAGCGCTCCCGATACGAGTGGAACTTGCGGTAATGGGTGCACCGGTACCACACCGTGAGGTTGTCGTAGTCCTCGTGGTACTCCTTACAGCCGGACGCGTGGGTCGCCTTGATTTCTGTCGTATAGTTGGCTAAAGTGATCACTTGATTGTTATCGTTGTCCAGAATCTTATGCTTGTCTTCGCACGTCTTCAGCAAAA